CTCTCTCTCTCTCTCTCTCTCTGTGTGTGTGTGTGTGTGACTATCATAAAATAAATAAAAATTAAAAAAAATTAAAAAAAAAAGTTATTGGGACATATATCATATGACCCAGCAAGTTTACTCTTAGGTAACTGCCCAAAAGAAATGAAAACATGTCCACACAAAGATTCATACAGAAATATTCACAGCAAGATTATTATGATGGTCAAAACAGGAAACAATTAAATGTTCATCAACTGGTGAATAATAGATAAGCAAAATAAGGTACATCCATGGACTACACAGCAATACAAAAGAATGAACTACTGGTACATGCAATCACTTGGATGAACCTCAAAAGCACCATGGCAAATGAAAGAAGCCAGACACAAAAAATTACATACCATATACTTCCATTTATAGGAAATTTCCGTATCAGTGGTTTCCTGGGGCTGGGAATGGGAGCAGGGAGTAATGGTAACCAGGTATGAGAGATCTTTTCAGGGGATGGAAGTGTTCTAAAACTGAATTGTGGTAATGGTTGAACAACTGTTTACTAAAAATCATCAGACTGTGTGCTTACATTGGGTGGGTTTTATGCTACATAAATTATACCTTATTGAAATTGTTTAAATAATGAAGTTAAACCTTCATGTCAGCAGCATTTGGCACAGCTGATCATCTCCTCCTCCTTGAAACCCTGTCTTCCCCACCACACTCTTGTTCTCTCCTATGTTCCATCCATGGTCTATTTAAGAGCATGATTTTTTTTTAAATCTATTTTTTCATGAGAGAAGGAGAGAGAGAGGCAGAGACACAGGCAGAGGGAGAAGCAGGTTCCATGCAGCGAGCCCGACGTGGGACTCGATCCGAGGACTCCAGGATCACGTTCTGGGCTGAAGGTGGCGCTAAACCGCTGAGCCACCCGGGCTGCCCCTAAGAACATGATTCAATCCTTTCTCCATCTCTCCTCCCCCTGGGTGAGCTCACTCAGATCTGCACCTTTAAGTATTGGTCCTGATGATGTCTAGATGTGGATCTTCAGCCTAGCTCTCTCTCCTGAACTCCAGAACTTTATATATCTAAATGCCTGCTTAAAGATTCCTTCCGATGTGTGATGGGCATCTCAAACATCATGTGCCCCACTGAGCTCCTGTCCTTCTGAACACAAAGCTGTGCCACACTCAGGGTCCTCATCCCAGTCGGTGGCAGCTCCATCCTTCCCACTGCTCAGCTCTAGAAGCTTGGAATCATCTTGGACATTTCTTTTTCTCTTTCACCTACATCCAACCCATAAGCAACCCCCAATTGGCACCTCCCTTCTAAATAGGTCTGGAATCTCCCTCCACACCGCCACCACCGTGGTGCAGCCCACTGTCATCCCTTGTGGGGATTGCTACCATAGCCTCCTCACAGCCTCCCTGCTTCCACCTTTGCCCTGCATCTTTTCACAATATAATATCCAATGTTCCAATTACATCATTCCTCTATGCAGAGCTCTCCTGGTTCCGCATTTCATTTGGCCCTATGTGACCCAGCCATGCATTACCATTTTGACCCCAAGATTTTGGTCACTCTGCTTCATCCTGTCTGGCCTCCTTGCTGATACTTGAACATGCCAGACACATTTCCAGCTTAGGACCTTTGCACTTGTGATTTCTCCTGCCTAGAATACTCCCCTCCCATGACAGGGAGAATTCTAAATTGACCCCTGTGATTCTTACTCCTGGTAGCCACATCTTTATGTAATCTCTTGTTGCATATGAATAGGACTACATGTCCAAGCTTTCTCCTCCTCCTCCTCCTCCTCCTTCTTCTTCTTCTTCTTCTCCTCCTCCTCCTCCTTCTCTTCTCCTCCTTCTCCTTCTTCTTCTTCAAGATTTATTTTATTTGGGACGCCTGGTTGGCTCAGCGGTTGAGCGTCTGCCTTCATCCCAGGTTGTGATCTCAGAGTCCCAGGATTGAGGCCCATATCGGGCTCCTTGCATGGAGCCTGCTTCTCCTATCTCTGCCTCTCTCTCAGCCTCTCTCTGTGTCTCTCATGAATAAGTAAATAAAATCTTTTTTAAAAAATATTTATTTTATTTATTTCAGAGAGAGAGAGAGAGAGGACATGTGCATGCATAAGCAGGAGGCAGGGCAGAGGGAGAGAATCTCATGCAGACCCCCCAATGAGAACTGAGCTAGACAGAGGCTCTTTCCCAGGACCCTGAGATCATGACCTGAGCCAAAATCGAATCAGATGCTCAACCAACTGAGCCACCCATGAGTTATATGTCCTTGAGGACATATAACTTCCTTCTAACCAATAGAAGATTATGGCAAAAATGGTGAGATATCACTCCCATGATTATAGTTCATTATATAAGGGTGAAAAACTGCAAAATGCTCCCCCCCCCTTTCTCCATTACACTTACTACCTCCTAACCTACTGAAATATATTTATTGTTTGATGCCTCCCCCTCTCTACCAAAATATAAGCCCCTGAGAACAGGGATTTTTGTTTGGTTCACTGGTGTTTCAGGCGTCTGTACTGGGACCCCATGCATCTTCAGATGAGGAGTCCTGAAACAGCTAAAGAAATGGCAGCACTGTGGGGGCCATTATGCTAAGGTAATTTATGTGCATGTGTTAACTTGGGTGAGGTTATGTGCTCAGAGGACAGGCAGGAGGCCTTTCTGGGGCTGCCTCTAGGGTCAAGCCCTTGACCTTCTAGCCCCAGCAATGCCAATGAGCTGATCTGGCTAAGAAACAAGATTAGCTGCTGACTGGTAATCAGGGCAGCCTGACCAGCTCCTCAGGGCCGGGCAGCTCATATGAGTGGCTCAGGGTCAGCCGGGCCCTGTGACCTGTTCAGCCCCAGCAGCCCCAACCCCCTCTTTGGGGAGGGTCAACAAGAGTGCTAGAGTGGCTGGGGCCATCCCAGCCTCCTCCTCCCTGAAGGCAACACGTAGGGACCAGCTGGGCTGCGCTGAGTCTATTCCTTCTGACATTGGCCTCATTTCTTCTGTGCTACTGCAAGATGGGCTCCCCGAGAGCACTCTGAGATGGAGTTAAACATGCAGGGTGTTTATTACCAGGAGTCCAGGGGACCCACTTTTGTGGAAGGAAAGGGTGGAAACCGGATTAAGTATAAGGAAAACTGCCATGAGAGCCTCAGGTAACCCTATGTGAAGTTCCAGAGCTGAAATAGTCCTTTGTAGTTGCCCACCATTGGGCCAGACCAGGGAAGAATGTGACCTTGGGCCAGGTGGCTCTCTGCAGCCCAACCCCTGGATGGGCTGCCAGCCAAAGGCTGTCTACTGACCGCAGTACCAGCAGCTGGGTGGCAAGTCCCTTCTTTTATTATTTTTTTAAGATTGATAGATTGATAGATTGATTGATGTAATCTCTACACCCAAAATGAGGCTCAAACTCACAACCCTGAGATCCATAACGGGAGCAGAAACCAAGAGTAGGATGGAGCCAATGGCAGGTCCCTTCTTGAAGAATGATCAGTGCTGAGCATCTCCCTGTTTGTGACATTGGCCAACATCCCTTCCATTGAGGCCCTCTCTTTTATTTGTAATTACTTTCATTTTAAGATATATTAAAAATGCAGAGTGCCTAGGTGGTTCAGTCTGTTAAGCATGCCTTTGCTTAGGGCTTAGGTCAGGATCTAAGGGCCCTGAGATCAAGCCCTGCATCAAAGTCCCTGCTCCGTGGGGAGTCTGCAGATCGGCCTCTCCCTCTTCCTCCATCCCTCCCCCTGCCCTACTCCAGCCCTGCTCATGTGCGCACTCTCTCTCTCAAATAAATAAATAAATATTTTTAAAAAGATATATTAAGATGTACCTGGGTGGCTCAGTTGGTTAGACAGAGCTCAGCTCATGATCTCGGGGTCCTGGGATGGAGCCCCCTAATCAGGCTCCCTGCTCAGCAGGGATTCGGCTTCTCCATCTTCCTCTGCCTCTCCCTGCTGGCTTGTGCTCTCCCTCGCTCCCTAGCTCTCTCTCTCAAATAAATAAAATATTTTTTAAAAAGATATATTAAAAAATGCAAAAAAAGCACTCTTTAAAATCCATAAGACAAAAGACACAGAATTACAACAGAAACCAATTGTATGTATGTATGTATGTATGTATGTATGTATGTATGTGTGTATGTATTTTTACCAACTGTATTTATATTCAGGTATTGAAATGTTAAAACAAATTTGTGATATAGTCACAAATATGCATCTTTATTTAAAGCATTAGATATTAACATTTTTAAAAATACATTTAAAAATATAAATAAAGCATTAAGTAAGATTCAGCGGCAGGTCCAATAACTGCCATAATTTCAAAGTGATGATGAATCTAGACAACGTTGTAATGTGATAGGAGAATATCTGTCATTTTGATTTATGACAAAGTCACACGTGTTACAAATCCCTCTGTGGTCTGTTGCCCACCTCAGAGTTGAAGCAAAGGCTAAATGTCAGTTAGAGGTTACAGAAAATAAAGATCTTTCCCTATATCAATTCCAGGTGTAGGAATGTGGGTATTGGTGTGAAGGCGGAGGGTGGGTTCCAGGAAATTTGGGTTGGGGCAGAGGACATCCCTCCCCCCAGCAAGAGAGACCAGGATGCTCCCATCCCAAAACTCGCCAAGAGGGCAGATGGGGAGGCCCGCCCAGCCTCTTCTGACCTGGGGGTCCAAGTGTCTGCCATGCAACCCTTCCCCCAGATGCTGGGAGTCGGGCTCCAGAGTCCCCGGTTGGGCCTCAGGCCCCGGGCTCCCTGTCCCCCCGCAGGCGCCCCGGCCACCCGCCCCCGCACGGCCTCTCTAGCTGCTTCCCCGGCCCCAGGCCGTCAGCCGACGCCGGGACCTGACCCGGCCAGGCCCCTGCAAATGAGGGGGCGCGCCGGGCGCCCGGGGCCTGACCCGCAGCGACCCGCTGTGACCAGCCATGCGGCGGCCCTCTTAGGCAGGCCCCGCCCGCCCGGGCCCCGGCCATAAAAAGGCGGGCCGGGAGCCGCCGCCGCCGCCGCCGCCGCCCGCCGCGACCCCGCGCGCCCGCACCATGGCCGGCCCCGGCCTCGCCTGCTGCCTGCTCGGCCTCCTGGCGCTGACCTCCGCCTGCTACATCCAGAACTGCCCCCTGGGCGGCAAGAGGGCCGCGCTGGACCTCGACGTGCGCCAGGTGAGCCCCGCCCCTACGGGCCCCGCGCCCCCGGCCTCGCGGGGCCCGCGCTCACCCCGCTCCCGCCCTCCCGCCAGTGCCTCCCCTGCGGCCCCGGGGGCCAAGGGCGCTGCTTCGGGCCCAGCATCTGCTGCGGCGACGAGCTGGGCTGCTTCGTGGGCACGGCCGAGGCGCTGCGCTGCCAGGAGGAGAACTACCTGCCGTCGCCCTGCCAGTCGGGCCGCACGCCGTGCGGGAGCGGGGGTCGCTGCGCCGCCGCCGGCATCTGCTGCAGCCCGGGTGAGCTGGGGCCGGGGAGGGCCCGGGAGGGGGCGCCCGGGGTCAGGGCGGGGCCGGGGCCGGGGCCGGGGCCGGGACCCCGCGGGGCGGACCCTGATCCGGCGTCTCTCCTCCCAGACGGCTGCCGCGCCGACCCCGCCTGCGACCCCGACGCCGCCTTCTCCCCGCGCTGAGCGCCTTTCAGAAGAAGTGAACTACAATAAAGCAGTTTCCCCTCCAACTCGACTGGCGTCTTGGTGTCGGAAATGGGAGGGAGGGCGTCGGGGGGCCCCGACGGTCGTGCCTGGGCGCCTGCGTCTCTGGCTCCCGGCGGTTCAGAGCCCCGGTCCGGGCGCCGTTCCCGCCGCCGGAATCCCGCAGGGGCGGCGAGGGCGGGGGCAGCAGGGCGGGCTGCGAGGAGAGTGACCTCCCTTCCAAACAGAGCTGGGAGCGCACCGCAGGTGGACTGAAGAGATTTTTTTTTTTTTAAGATTTTATTTATTTGAAAGAAAGAGAATACAAACGGGGAGGAGCAGAGGGGAAGGGAGAAGCCGACGTAGCCGCTCAGCAGGGAGCCTGATGTGGGGCTCCGTCCCCAGACCCTGGGATCAAGGCCAGAGCCCAAGGCAGCCGCTTAGCGGACTGAGCCACTCAAGTGCCCCAGGAGGAACGTTCAAAAAACCCAAAGGATAAGGTGGGGTGGGCCTGACGGCACCGGAGGAGCGGGAGGCGGCCAGCGGCGCCTGAGTGACTCCCCGGCCTTTGGAAGGAGGCGTGAGCGCCCCTGAGGGCTGGGTGCGGGCCTCGGCAGCTGACGGGCCTTCAGGCTCCACGGAGCTGGACTCCAAAGCCCCGGAGGCCACAGGTGCTCAGACAAGGTGGCCAGGCTGCCGTGCCCCCAGCTGGCCTGCTCTGGCCTGTGCAGGAGAGGAACTTGGCAGTGCTGGGCCTCTTGCAGGACAGGGGTTCAGGAGAGCCCGCAACCACAGAAATGACCACAAGATGCAAAAGCTTCCTACAAACAGAATCCTCAACCGTTTGTCATCTGTTCCTGGACCAAAAACCCTATTGGGAATCAAGAGAGCTCAATTCCTGTTCCCCAAAACATGCTGTCACTTATCCATGCCACTGGGCAAGCAACTTCAGAAGGTGCATGGCCACACTCCTACTCTAAGTAAAACAGGAACAGATCACTCCCTGTTAGTGAGAGAAAAAAAATGTAATTTTTATGGTTTTCTCTCGAACTGGAGAACTACAGAGCACTGCCCCAGTATGTGGGTCTCTCTGTGGGTCTCACAGGATAGAGAGAAAAAAAAACATACTGAAGAGAACTGTTAAGGTTTTCTTTATATAAATTACAAAAACAGGCAAAACTAAGCTATGGTGCTAGAAGTCTTGGGTGGAGTGGTGACTGGAGGGGACCCAAGGGCAGTTCTAGAGTGCTTGTCATATTCTGTTTCCTAGTCTGCGAGCTGGTGAAACAGGAGTGGTTATTTTCTTTTTTTTTTTTTTTTTAATTTTTTTTTTATTTATTTATGATAGTCACAGAGAGAGAGAGAGAGAGAGAGAGGCAGAGACACAGGCAGAGAGAGAAGCAGGCTCCATGCACCGGGAGCCCGACGTGGGATTCGATCCCGGGTCTCCAGGATCGCGCCCCGGGCCAAAGGCAGGCGCCAAACCGCTGCGCCACCCAGGGATCCCCAGGAGTGGTTATTTTCAGAAAACAACTCAGTATGCATGTGATTTGTTGACTTTTATATGTATATTATATTTGAATAAAAGGTTTTAAAAATGAAAAAAGTATCATTACTGCTAAGATGAATGGAGAGAATAGAGATGAAGCTTTTGGGGTTTTTTAAGTGCTTATCATTTTATTTTTTATTAAGTCATCGCTACACCCAAAGTGGGGCTTGAATTCATGACCCTGAGATCAAGAGTCACATGCTCCGCAGACTCAGCCAGCCAAGTGTCCCTGAGATAAGGCTTTTGAAAACTCCAGTGGCCTATTGCAACCTGGTCCGTGGTTCTTTTTGTTCTTTTGGGGTTTTTTTGCTTTTAGTTTATTGATTTTTGTTTTTAGATTTCACATATAAGTGAAACCATATGATGTTTATCTTTTTCTGTTTGGCTTATTTCACTTGGCATAATACCTACCTTCCAGGTCTATCCATGTTGTCACAAATGGCAAGATCTCACCCTTTTTCATGACTGAACAATATTCCCCTGGATAGACTGTGGTTCTTGCTGAGGCCATGAGAGCAGGCCCTCTTTCCACCCCACATCCAGGGGAATTAGTCACTGAAAGGGACACAAGATGACTCAAAGTTCAAACCAACTATGGTGAAGGATGTGATGCACATAAATGGATTTTTAAAAATATTTTATTATTTATTCATAAGAGACACAGAGAGAGAGGCAGAGACATAGGCTTCCTGTGGGGAGCCGGTTGCAGAACTGGATTCCAGGACCCCGGGATCACAACCTGAGCCAAAGGCAGATGCTCAACCACTGAGCCACCCAGGTGGCCCACAATTGGATATTTGAGGATAGTTGCAGAGTTCTGTGTCCTTCAGGAACCACACAGCTGGGAGGGCTAGAGCGAGGGGTGACTGTGCTCCTCACTTACAGACATCGGGTGACGGATTTGTGTTTTCCAAGTTGGAATGTTCACTCACCGCCTTAGCAGGAAGTCTGAGATCTCCCCTCTGAGACCTCTTTCTCTCCCCTGAGAGAGAAACAGGCTCCCTGCAAGGAGCCTGATGTGGGACTCAATCCCAAGACCCCAGGATCACAACCTGAGCCAAAGGCTCAACCACTGAGCCACCCAGGTGCCCTACTTCATGATATTAATATATTGTTGAATTTTGTTTTGCAGCTTGCGTGTGTGTGATAACAGTCTGTGGTCATGGTTTTTGTTGTAGTATTTAAAATTTAATTAATATATTATTATATTATCATATATGATTATTAATATAGTATCAAAATTAATTATTCTTATTTTAATTCCAGTATAGTTAACATACAGTTAACTGTATGTTAACATATTAGTTTTGGTGTACAATACAGTGATTCAACACTTCCATACAATACCCAGTGCTTATCACAAGTGCACTCCCTCATCCAGATCACCTGTTTCATCCATTCCCCCACTCACCTCCCCTCTGGTGACCACCCCTTTGTTCTTTATGGTTAAGAGTCTGTTTCTTGGTTTGTCTCTTTTTTTTGGTCTCCTTTGCTTATTTGTTTTGTTTCTTAAAATTCCACATATGAGTGAAATCATATGGTATTTGTCTTTCTCTGATTTATTTCACTTAGCATTATACTTTCTAGCTCCATCCTAGTTGTTGCAAATGGCAAGATTTCATTCTTTCTTATGGCTGAATAATATTCCATTGTGTATATATACCACATCTTCTTTATCCATCTATCAATAGATGGACATTTAGGTTGCTTCCATAATCTGGCTGTTGTAAATAATGCTATGTGTGGTCATGTTTTTAAAAAGAAATCTTTTGAGATGCACACTGGAACTTTTACAGATGAAATGGTATGACAGCTGGGCTTGACATCAAGATAATTTGGGGGTGGGAGGAGAAGGTGGGGTAGAAGTGACACAGGCAGCCACATGATTGATAATTGTTTAAGGTAAGGGGGGTAGATCTGAGGGATTTTTGTCTTTTGGCTCTACTTTTTCATATATTTGAAATTTCTCATAACAAAAGCTAAAAACCAGAAAGACTGTGGCAAAGGTAAATGTTTTGATATGAAAAGATACCCCAAATTTACTTTGCCAAAAATAATGTAAATTAGGACATATAGATTATGTAAATAATACTAACTTGTAAAACAACAGCTGTGTGAAGCTTTAGGACAAAGGTGTTCCAGTCTGAAAGCTATACTTTATTTCTTTTTTTTTTTCTTTTTTTTTCTTTTTTTAGTGTAAACTCTAAGCCCAATGTGAAGCTGAACTCATGACCCAGAGATTAAAAGTCACATGCTTCACTGACTGAGCCAGTCGGGCCGCCCCAGTCTGAAAATTATAAACAGCAACTTCATCATTGAACATGTATTTCTATGATTTTTTTTTGTATTTCTATGATTGATTTTTCTCCCATACAGTCTTATCAAGGACCTCCAGTACAATTCCTAAGGGCAGTAATTTCAATTTTCTGTAGGGGTCCCTATGCATAGGTTAAGCAAGCTGGCTTCTCTTCCATACCTAAGTTTAGTGCAGTTTAGTCTTTAAATCTGGAGTGGTATGAAAATATACCAAAAGTTTTCCAGCATCATGATTTTCCATGGGGCAGAGTTCAGGGATATTTCTTTCCCATTACTAACATTTCCTTTTTGCATCCCTGAGGTAACACTCCTCCCAGGGGAGAAAGTAGCTGAAGTAGGCTTGCGGAGAAGGAATGATGCATACAGTCCACCCCTTCCTCTCCGGCCTCACTTGGGATCAGGCTGCTAGCCCAGGAAGCAGGTGCTGGCAACAGAGCAAGTGTGTAGAAAAGCAAAGGAGCAGTAAAGCCTTGGTAAGAGGGTCCAGCTCCCTGTGCCTAGGACAGTAAACATCTCCAACCTGTTATTCATCCTTATGGAGCCCACTTGCCAGCAGCAGAAATCACATTCTCTGACATCAGCTCTACCAATAATAGAAGTAGTATTGTGAAATAAAATCTTTAAAAGTGGGGGGGGGCACCTGGGTGTCTTAGCTGTTGAGCACCTGCCTTCAGTTCAGGTCATGATCCAGGGGTCCTGAGATCAAGCTCCACAACAGGCTCCCCCCGTAGGGAGTCTGCTTCTCCCTCTGCCTATGTCTCTGCCTCTCTCTGTGTGTCTCTCATGAATTAATAAATAAAATCTAAAAAAAAATTAGTATTGTAATCTCCATATGTCAGCTTCTTTTGTGTCATTTTTCAGTTGTTGCAGAATTCAGGGCTTAAGGTAAGGTGAGGCTGCTGTAATAAAAACAGTGAAATAATGGGACGCCTGGTGGCTCAGCCTGCCTTTGGCCCAGGTCCAAATCCCACGGTCCCAGGATCGGGCTCCCTGCATGGACCCTGCTTCTCCCTCTGCCTATGTCTCTGTCTCTCTCTCTCTGTGTCTCTCATGAATAAGTAAATAAAATCTTAAAACAAAACAAAACAAAAAACCCCCACCGAAATAGTAAGGAGGCTTCAGGGGCTTCTAGAAGGTAGATGTTTCTCTGTCTCCTATCAGCCTGAGATGAGCATT